ACTCGGGAGACTGAGGCAGTAGGACTGCTGCAAATTTAAGGCCAGCCTGGGCTACAAAGTGAGTTCAAGGCCAACCTGACCTGCAGAGTGAAATTCTATCTCAAAAGACAAACAAAGCAAAACAAAACAAAACCAAAAACAAATCCTACATCTGGTTACTCATAGATACTTTTGAATAATGTGTAGTAATTGTGCATGTTGGCTAGTAGTCACAGCATAACTCATTTCAAATAGATTTTGTAAAAGAAAAATCAGAGTAGCAAATGTAACCTTTGATAAAATATACCTCACACATAATGTTCCATACTGTCTCTTTAAACAATGGCATGATGTGTTTGTGAAGCAGTCAAGAAGAACAAATTAACCCCCTGGGCAAACTCTGGGCAAACTATTCGTGTGAATGCAAAATAGTGAATGATACTTAATTCTACATCCATTTTTAAAAACTGACCTCGTGCTAGTGGTAAGGACTTTATTTTTAGCCAGAACATTACAGAATGACAAATGAGATTCCTGGGGAGAAAATTACTTCATGTAATTCAAGGCAAGTGAAATGTCACAGGCTTTGGGTGGGATTTTGTTAGGGTCAGAGTTCTCAGCAAGGCTAAGGGATACGAATCTGTGAAGAATGAGGCAATTCGAAGAACCTGTTAGAACTGACCAGCGTGTGGGGCTCTCATAAAAAGTGAGGTGGTTGGCTGCTTCCAGATGCAGGAACTGTCAAATGGTCTGTGGAATTATATGGAGCCATTTGAATTGGTGCTGCCAATGGGACTTCATTACTTTTCTCATTGCTGAGACAAAATACTGGTCCCTGAAGTTAAAGGAGGAAAGGTTTATTTTTGGCTCACAGTTTGTAGAGGTTCAGTCCATATCTGGCTGGCTTCAAGGCAGGGTGAAGGGTGACATGGCAGAAAGGCATTAGAGAGGAGAAACAGTTCAAGATGGGTGAAGGTAGCAAAGCAACAAAGTAGAGAAGAATCAAGTTCAAGGGAACTTAGCAGCTTCTTTCTGTCCCTTTTATATTCTCTCTACGCTACCGGGCTTAGGATGGGTGTCAAACCAATCAGTGGACTGATTTAGTAATCACACATCCTTAGTCTGAGCATCACATAATCTAGATCCAGCCACCTCTGAATAAGCCCCACCTATGACTGCCGGAGGCTTTGGGGGGCATCTAGACACAAGCCATAATATAACCATTCGAGTCTTCTTTTTAAGGTATCGCTGAGTCACTCAGTCATTATTTATTCAGGAATGGTTCCCCACGATGAAAAACCCTGAAATTCTAAATAAATTAGATCACAATCTACTTTTTGTATACTAAATTAGATTTCAAAAGAGTCAAACTAGTGTAGAAGAGGGAGTAATACTGGAAAGAGCCAAAGTAAATAACACTCTTTCCCCCAAATGGCTCAGGTTCAGATAAAATGGTTTTATTCTAAATATATAACTACTAGGTTAAAAGTTGATTCTCTAAGATACATACCATGCAAAAGTATTGTTAGCTGATTCACAGATAACATTGGTTCTAACCCATTGTACTCAATGTCTCCTTTTTGTAATAAATATTTTGTAACATCTTACTGTCCTGAAATGAAATGCATAGATAACATGAAAAACTACATAACTTCAACACTCACTATATTGTGAGGTGCCTGGAGTAGTGAAATTTATGGGGACAGGAAGTACAATGGTGGCTTCCAGAGGCTTGGGGGAAGAGGGACTAGAGAGTTAGTGTATAATGGGCAGAGAGTTTCAGCTCTGTAAGATAAAGAGAGCTCTGTAGAGAGAGGATGACAGCTGGTGCACAATAGTGTAAGTACACCTAATGTTACTGGATTGCACACTTAAAAATGGTTAAGATGATAAATAGTGTCATATGTATCTTTCTACAATTAAAAGAAATCTTGATTTTGCTGGTAATAACAGTTACTTGGGAGCTGAGGCAGGAGGATCATAAGTTTGAATAAAAAGGACTGGAGAGGTAGCTCAGTTGTAGAGCACCTTCCTAGCAGGCCTGAGGTCTTGGATTCAATCTCCACTACACAGCTAGGTAGACAGATAGATAGGACAAAATCTCACCATGATATTGCTCTACTGATACAAGAGAAATAAAAGAAAAGTTATTTATTTTGAAATAATACAATCAACAAAATGTTCATGCTAGAAGACGTGACAAGCTGGTTAGAAGCTACAAGATCACCAAACTTGTGAGAATCACAGATGTAGGATGATGTAGTGCACTTCCGTGGCAATGCCTCCATGCACCAGATTTGCAAATGGTATGTGACTCTTGGAAAGTTCTTTATAAAGCAAGGGGTGGTTTTCTCTGGTTGTATATGGCACTTACATTTTTGGAAGACTCAGCGTATGTCAAATCTCATAAAAGAGACATTATATTTATATGTAAAATCAGCTAAATTCATAAGTAATTATAAGCAGATTTATCACCAATGTACTGGGCTGCATTTGAAAGTCAGAAAAGTCCTTGTTGTACAAGATTATTTTTACCACTGAGGCACATCTTGCAACCTTGGCTCCTGCCTGCGAGATACCATCAGCGCCCCCTCCAGTCATTGTGACACCCAAAGTTACCCCAATCCCTTCAGGGCCCCTCAGAGCCACTGACAAATGCCTAGTGCACTTTGTACCCTGACTCTAAGCACCTTCTCACTGACGATTGTCAGATTTCTCATCCTACTATGATTCCTGCTTGTTGAAGCTCACAGTTCTATTAGCTTTACCCATCATACTTAATTTTAAAAAAGTTTTTAATAGTGTTGCCCAGTTAGCTGAAAACCAAACAATAGAGATTTTTAAACAAACGCACTTTTCTGTCTCCTTTTAAAACAAGTGAAAGATTAAAATGATCCAAAGAGAAACCACAGTCTCCCTTTTTATAAAGGGCAACAAACAAATCAGTAAATTAATCTTTGGTGTATTTTGCTTTGGGACTCCAAACTGACGTTGTTCAATCAAGGTAGGTTAACTCAAACTCAAAACAGTCTCAATCAACACATCCTTTTATTACGGCTTTGTGTGTGTGTGCGCACACACACACACAGACACACACACATATACACACACACACGCACACAGACCACAATTCTCATGAGTGCAAGTGCTTTGGGGGCAGCCCTTCTTCGTTTCTGACCTTCTCATTGTGCCTTCCAAGCAGCTTCATACCCATAAAGCACTCAGTACATAGCTATTAAAATGAATTGAATTTGTACATGTGTGATATTTATAGCAACTGCTAATATTAAATTAATCAAGGCACCCTAGCGTCAATCCCTCCAGGTAGACAGAATTTTAATGTACTGGATTTCACTTTCAAGTATGTCATTGTCTCACAAAAGAGGAAGACAAAGATAAGTTGGAGTGAAGATCAAAATTCTCTACGTAGGTTATCTCCGTGATTTCATTGGAGATCAAATGCAGTAACCTGAAATCTGCAGAGTAATTATGCCAGATCGCCTCACGTCATCATTATTCTTTCCCAGGATAAAACTGTCTCTCCTGGGCTCTACAAGAAACAAGTTTGGCTAACACAAGCAACCTCCAATTACAGCGATATCTTTGCTGTGGAAAAAAAATAAACGTGTAATTAAATTTTGCAGGTGCAACAATCCTGCCATTACGAACCATGGAGGAAATCTGTGAAATTATCCTGAGCAATTTTCTCCGGTGTAATTTGGAAATTAGCCCACCTGGAGACATAAACCTACAGTTTCCTCTGCCATTGTCTTATCACATTTATCTTGTCTTAAATGCTGATACTCCTATTGCAAAGAGAAACAGGTTTAAACATTCAAACCTCTCCAACGGAGTAGAGTATTTCAGAAATTTGAATTCCAGGCCCACTGACTTTCATGCTGGCTTTAAAGACCATAAAAACCGACCGAAAGTACTGCAGGGCATAACTAACCTGCCAGCAAAACATTGCCGAGCCGTGGCAACCCCGATGCACGTGCAGACTTGCAAATGTTGAACGCCTGGGTCCCTAAGAAGCATGTACCGCGTCTCCCAGGAACCTGGTATGGTGTGACTGCCAACACTGCCCAGAAAAGGAGCCGGTTCACGCCAGATACTGCAACCTCTTGAACAGAACCATTTTTACTTCCTCATCTCTTCCTTGGTGCAGGGATAGGCAGAACAAAGGCACCATGTCAGAAATGGTGTGGTCTCTTTGGGACCTGGGGAAATGGCTCTCTCAGCCTTGGGTTTGCCATCTAGAAAAGGATAGTCTTTATTTGCTCAAGTGGTTTGGGATCTTCAAAGAAAAGAGGCTTGATTATTATTCAAATATTTGTACATCACTTAGGCTGCATTGGTCATACCTCATTATGCTCTTCAAATTTCCCAGGGAGTTTGGATCACTCAGGAACTGCAGGATGTTATCTTTCCTTCCTCCCATAGCCCTTCCCGAAGCCTCATTGGGTGCACTTATCTTTTGATTTTGGGAGCTTCTGAAACAGAGCCAGACAGAACTCTAGTTGTCAGCTATGACATCGGTGCTACCTTGCTGTTTTGGTCATACAGATCCTTGTATGCTCCAGACACGTGAGCTATGTATACTTACAGAAAGAGACACCTGCATATTCTTTGACACCCATAGATCTACACTCTTTATGAACATCATTTCCAGGAAGCCTTCTAACACTACACCACCCACCTCAACAGAGGTCAGCGTCTCTCTCCTTTTTGTATTTTTAAATCTTTCTCTAGTATTCTGTGCTCACATCTGTCAGAGCATTTATTACCACGTATCATAATTGCATGTTTACTACCCACCATACCATTGCACTATGAATCCTTAAGATAAGAATTGCATTGTTTATCCTTGTTTCTCCTGCAATTGGTGCAAGGTGTAACACATGGTAGCAATTTGGTATGTGCTTGTTAATGGGTGAATGGATACGCATGTGTGTAGGTCTGTATTAACATTTTAATATATTTTTGCTAGTCTCTTGATTACTTTAACTTGTTCATTGTTATGAATTGCTTTTATACTTTCAAGAGTTATAGATGGTCCTTGTAACCATTGGGAACAATTTAGAAGTTCTCACCGAGGAAAGACGGAATCTTTTTCCATCCTTCCTCATCAATCCCACTTCCTTTTTCCAGACAAAAACACTGTCAAAGCTTTTTCTTTGCATTTACAAACATTCATTTATATCAACAAAATATTTTCAAAGCAATAAGGTTGTTATATTTTAGGTACTAATCTGTCTTGCTTTTTTCTACTTAAGATATAACACATCTTGCTCTTTGTGTGTAAAAACATAAGACCTCGTGCTCAGCTATTCATTAACCTACTTATGCATTCATTATAAACGTGCTCAATACATTTGCTTTTAAAACTGAACAGGGGAGAATGCTGTAAAATGAAGAATAAAGTTGCCTTGATCTGCAGACACTCTTTGCTCATCCTACACCAGAGATAAACACTTGCCATCAGCCCTACTTTTCACACTTTTGGTGGTTATCATGGCTGTAAATTATTGATTTCTACAAATAAGATATACTCTATCAACTGCTCAGTAGGTTGAGAATTCAGTGTTTTTATTCCACCTCCTCCACACCCTCCCACATCTTGACTTTCTGTTGTTCTGTCTAGTCATTTCAGTGGCTACAAGAGTAACCTTCCAGAAAGTACTGAAAACTCTATCTGGGCCTCTGGACCTTAGCACTTCTGCTCCCCTGTGTGCGCTGGGTGCCCAGCAGACACCATGCTCTGCCTCCAGCCTTTGGGCTTCTCTCAGCTGCACTGTCCCTCACTGTCGGGGTTATGATATTTACATTCGGTTTTCATTTCCTCTATGCAATGATTTTAGCCTCCGCTGTTTGCTTCCAGGAAGTTTTTGAAGTTTCTTGTCTGCTCGTCACACGTGTCTTGTGGTTTAGCATTGGTACAAACCAGTGCTTCTGGGGTATCTTTGTTATTGTCTTGATGGGCCTTGGAGAATAATAATGGTAAAGGTATGAATTTAGTTTGTTCTTTTAGACTCTCTCTTGCTTCTTTTGACTGTAATTATTTCTTTCCGACAAATTCACGAACTTTCCTTAATTCTTTTTTTTTTTTTTTAATTAGGGATGGAACTCATGACCTTGTGCTTGCCAGGCAGGCACTGTGCTGCTGAGCTATATCCCTCACCCCTTTTCTTAATTTTAGTAAGCTATAAATACAATGGTATCGGTGAGCTGCATTGTATTAGAAACAAAGATTTCAGAAGTCAGCCAAAATTAGCATTTATATGTTGTCACTGTCAGCTCAATATAGTTCTTCCCACTTGCCAACTTTATCTTGCTTCTAAATAACAAATAACGATTTTAATCGCTATAAGTAGTATTATGTTTTTGTTCTCTGATAAATTCTATTTATAAACTTTGAGAGTATATTGGTGTTTGTAAAAGACCTGAGCTGGCTTAAATGAAAATATATGTGAAGTCACAACTCTATCAGGGAACTGATATTGCTTGTATCACAAACTATTGGTGCTCCTTGTTCTCATGTTCTAGTCCCAAGTACAGTTAAGTTGCTCAAAGAATTATTAAAAGTTTCATAGAGTGCATCTTTTTTATTTAAAAAAATGTCTTAGTAAAGTCTTGTGGTTGATTAGCTTTGTTGAACTCAACCACACTGACCTGGCAATTTCTGCTGATTCTCTATTAAAGACTTCTGGGGTGTGGGCCACGGGCATATCATGGTTTTACTCATTTTTTCCATGAGTGACTCTCTGAAGAAGCCCTTGGAAGGCCTGAGAAACTCCTTTTTAATCATAACCTTTACGACTTCTCTTCCCTTTCTTGGTATGCCAATATTAAATGCACCAGGGAAACTTATTTCAATTACACTGGATGGCTTCCCCTTCCAGTTCATCAAATTATACACACGCACTTCCGAGGAAGTTATCCAGCGTAATTCTTAGTTCTGGGGAGCAAGAACAGGGTGCCAATTACTTAAGAAGTGCTCATTAGGAATTAGAAAGCAAATATAATTACCACATGCCAATTGCATAGGAAATAAGACTGTTTTCAACAAAGCCAGGCTTATTTTATGTGCCCCATATAGCACCCACAGGATGTGTTCTTACCTGTTTCTCCCTCCCCCAAATACTAAATACATATAGGAGGTGAAGACTTAAGTAGGAAACATAATAGACTGAAAACTCCTTATTTAACATACTCAATTATATTTCTAGCACCTAGCTGGGCTTATAGTGGAAGGTCTAAACACACCTGTGGAGTCTTTGTATACCTACAGTAGACAGGAAGTTAACTTTATGTAGTATGAGCTTTTTGTGTGTGGATGCGCTCACGCACACACACACACACACACACACACACACACAGGGCTTTAAAGGCTTGAATATGCCAAAATAGTACTTAAATTTACAAAAATTTTAGAGTTGAAAATTACAGATTCACAACTTCCATCACCCAATTTCACAGCAGATAAAAACACCGACCCCTTTCTTAGGTGTATGCCCTGTCTTCATGTGGTCATGCTGTTCTAATTTCTTCCATTGTGGAAGAAAAATATTGGTTGTAACTGCCCTATAGGCAAAGACCACATCGAGCATTCCCCTTGTGTCCGCTCCAAGCTTCTCCCATATTTCCTCCCCAGCCCCACCCCAAAGTTGTCTAAAAATGGTTCACAATCTTGGGAACAACTATTTTCTAGATGGCTATAGAGAAAACAGAAATTGTAGATCTTTTCAATAACCGTCATCTGCCACGTTTGACCTGATTTAGGTAGTGTCAACTTAGGGTTTTTGGCACTGCTAACCCTCAGAGGCATCTTTTCCATTTTTATAATTTAGTTGCATCCTCTTAAAGTACACATATTATGTAGAAATATATTTGGAAAGAAGTCTGAATTTTTGATACATTAGATGGAAAAAACAAAAGCAGTTTCTCACCGCCAGCTTTTCACATTTCTTTCCTTGTTAGTCCATACAAACATTCAGTAATAAGGAAATGATCCAGAAATGGCCAAACCGGAGCTCGAGTCGTATTTGTCACCTAGCAGGGGTTTGTTTTGTTCACTCAAGGTGGAAGGAGAAAACTCAGCCCCTTTCTTCCATGGGGGCCCTTCTCTTGGTGCTTAATTCTCAAGCTGAGGAAAGAAGCCCATTTATCTTTCGAATCACAGGGAAGCAGACAGGAATGAAGAAGCTTTTTTAACTGCGTCTCCCAATACCCAGCCATGAAAATTCAACCAACAGTCACCCGGCCTCCCAGAGCCTCTCTGAAGCAGTTAAGTTTCATTTTTAGTAAAACTTTTCACGTTTATCAGAGGTCTGGTTCTACCTGCCCTATGTCCAGTGGGTGACCTGGGAAAAGAAGTGATTCAGTCGCCAAGCCTTTTCCAGGCTCTGGGAATAATCATCGGGTAGGGAAGACAAAGTTCCTCCCCTGATCCTAGTAGTGATCCGGAAACACACAGTGTAGCCTTAGGGGTCCGTGCGCAGTGCAGCAAAGGCCTGCAGGGGTAACAGCGAAGGGTGCAGAACGCACAGAGCAGTGGGCGGGGCAGCGATGGGCGGGGCCTGCGTCGGGAGAGGCGGGGCCTGGAACACTGCGGTGGGCGGGAGGCGGTGGGCGGGGCTGACGCCAAGTTGCACCTGCATCCTTATCGCCCAATCAGATCCGCACCCTGAGCAGGACAGTGCGCTCCGGGAGATGACCCGCGCTGCTGGACGATGGCTGAGAGAGAGCTGCTGCACCTGCCTTAGAGTGGAGCCCCAGACTGTGACTCACTGCTGCTGTTCTGTCTATTGCTAGGAGCTCCGCTGGAGCTGTTTGGTTCCAAAAGAGGCCACCACCACAGCTCCAGGCACACGCAGGAGGCGACCCAGCCGCGGAATGGATGGAGCAGGGCCCAGGCTGGCGAGGGTCGGCCCAGCCGGCTGTCTACTGTCACAGGCACCGTGCTACGAGTGGGAGACCCTGACCTATACATGGTTAACACACAAATAAACTGGAGTATTTTGTGACTTGATCATATGTAATTCAAATTCCAGTTTTAATAAAGTTTTATCAGAACACAGCCGTATTCGTTTTTAACATATTGTCTATGCCTGCTTTTGTGCGACAGAAGCTGAATTAGCAGTAGGGAAGAGACAGGGAGGATTTATCTAAAATATTATGATCTAGCCCTGTAGGAAAAGGCCTACTGACCCCTGCAAAGAGCGTGTGTTGTGCTCAGTATGCCCTGAAAAAAGAATACAGTACAGTTATGAAAAATAATACATCTCTATATAGACAGCGTCTGTGTTAAATAAAACGAACAGAAGCAAATGAGCTCAGTACGTTTGCGTCCTCTACATATTCTGTAGGGCATCAGCTGCCAAGTGGCAGCCTTTGGCCTGTCAGGCCAAGTACCTAGGACCTTCTCCCCCAGGGTGCACGCTCACCAATTGCTTGTTGAATGGTGGAATGAAGAATCTAGGAAGCAATGAAGAAAAGATCCACAAATGTCACTATGTACAAGTTTAAAATACACACTTTGTATTCCATCAGATGTATTGCAAGCCTCTCTCTGTCTCTCTGTCTCTGTCTCTCTGTCTCCCCCAGTGTTAGGAATTGAACTCAGGATCTCGCACATGCTACGCAAACTGTACCATTGAGTTGTACCCCCAGCTCTCAAGAGCCTATTTCTTAGTCAGCTCCCACAAATCATAAGTTCAAAAACCCTACAGAAAAGTGGGCAAGGACATCAGCAAAAAGCAACTGAAGACAGCTCCATATGCATGTGAAAATATGACCAAGTTTCCTCACAAGAGAAAAATAAACTAATGGATGTTTTTTTTTTCCCACCTCTCAACTAATGAGGGCACCCTGTACTAGTGAAATTGCAAGTTAGCACAACTTTCTAGGGAATGCAGTTTGGCAAAATCTAACCAATATGTAAAATGAGTGTGCCCTGCCTCCTAGTAATTCTGATTCTAAAAGGTTATCTTGTAGAATCTTTCACATTTCAAATGAAACAACTACATGATCACTTACTTGACTAGAGAAAAAATTAATGTGCAGTCTACAAAATGCCACGCAGCCTAGGAAAAAATGCAGCAACTTTTCAAGTGCAGATGTAGAATGATTTTCAAATTTTATTAAGTGAAATAAATGCATAATAAACCTGTGTAGAACGATACATTTGTTTAAAAAGAAAAGAAAAAATTCACACGGGATTCCTTACAGTGACTGCTTTAGTAAACTGCAGAGATAACTACAGGGATAGTTGCCTTTCCAAAGCAAAACTGTTTGGCAGGGAACAGGCAGTAAGGAGGCCTCACTTTTACTTCCTATCTTTGGCCCTTTTATATCCTATTTAACCAAAATGGTTAATATTGAAATAAGAATTTTGTACTTGCTTGGGCAGCACAGATATTAAAATTGGAATGATACATAGAAGATTAAAATGACCTTTTCATGAGGATGACATGTGAATTTGTGAAGTGTTTCATATTTTTAAGCCCAAAGCCCATACAAGGAAGGAAATTATAAAGATCAGAGCAGAAATTAACACAGTGAGACTAAACAATACAAGAAGAATTAATGAATCAGAGTTTGTTATTTGAACGAATAAATAAAATTGATAAAACCCTAGAAAATCTTATTAAAAAATAAAGAAAAAAGTCAGATTCATCCAATGTGGAATGACAAGAGTCATGACTAGAGATCTTGTGGAAATTCAGAAGATCCTCAATAGCCACTGCAAAAATCTTTACTCACATAGAATGGACCACAGAAGAATTGGACAGATTCTTAGGAACATATGAATTGCCAAAGTTGAATTAAGAAGATATAAAAATTCTGAATAACCTAATATCCGTTAATGAAATTGAAAATGTAATTAAAAACTTACCAACAAAGAAAAGTTCAGGTCCTGATCGATTCATGGCTGAATTCTACAAGAAATTTAGAGAATATTTAACAACAATACTCTTCAAATTCTTTAATGAAATTGAAAGGGAAGCAATTTTCCCTAACTCATTCCTGGAGGCAAGTATTACCCTGATAACAAAGCCAGAGAATGATTCAACCAAAAAAGAGAACTACAGGCTAGTTTCCCAAATGAACATAAATGCAAAAGCCCTCAGTAAAATACTAGCAAACAGGATGTAGAAAATCATCAAGAAGATTATACACCATGACCAAGTATAATTCATCCCAAGAATGCAGATGGGTCAACATATGCAAATCAATAAATGTAGCACACCATATTAACAGAACCAAAGACAAAAATCACACAATCATCTCAATAGATGCAGAAAAGCTGTTGATAAAAGTCTAACACTCATTCATGATAAAAACCCAACAGAAAATCAGACTGTTTGGTCTTAACCTCAATCTGATAAAAGCCATCCATGATAAACCAATAGCCAACATCATACTAAACAGATGACAACTGAGAGCTTTCAACCTAAAATCAGGAACAAGATAAAGTTATCCACTATCACCACTCCTATTCAATATAGTTCTGGAGTCATTAGCCAGCACAATTGGACAAGAGAGAGAAATAAAAGGAATAAAGATAGGAAAACAATAAATTAAATTATCATTATTTGCAGATTACATGATACTCTACATAGGAGGCCCAAAATTCACCAAAAGACTTGTAGAATTAATAAGTTCAGTACTGTAACTAGATACAAAGTCAACAGTCAAAAATCAGTAACATTTCTGTACACAAAGAACAAATTCACTGAGAGAGAAATTATGGAAACAACACCCTTCATAATACCATTAAAAAATGAAATACCTAGGAATCAATCTAACAAAAGAAGTGAAAGATCTATACTCTAAAAATTACAGTACTATAAAAAAGGATATTGAAGAAGATATCAGAAAATAGAAAGACATCCCTTGCTCATAGAAAGAACCAACATGGTGAAAATGGCCATTCTCCCAAAACTGTTATACAGATTTAAGTCAGTGCTAATCAAAATACCACTAGCATACCTCACAAATCTAGAGAAAACATTCCCAAAATTCATTTGCAACCAGAAGAGTCCTAGAACACAAAGGCAATGTTAGGCAACAAAGACAAGGCAGGAGGCATTACGATCCCTAACTTGAAATTATACTACAAAGCTACTGTGATAAAATCAGCATAGTACTGGCAAAAACAAAACAAAACAAAACAGACCTAAGGGTCAGTGGAACAGATTAGATTACACAGACATGGTTACAAGCACATTCAACCATCTTATCTTTGATAAAGGGACCAAACACGTTCACTGGAAGAAAGATAGCCTCTTCAATTTTTGGTGCTGGAAAAACTGGCTTTCCGTATGCTGAAGACTAAACTAAGACACCATGTCTATAATCATGCGCTAAACTAACGTCAAAATGGAACAAAGATCTAAATATTAAAACAGAAACACTAAATCTACTGGAAGAGAAATAGGTAAAAATCTTAAAGATGTAGGGGTAGGCAGAGTTTGTGAACAAAAGCCAAACTGCACAGGAAGTACTTCAAAGAATCAACAACTGGGATCTCATCTTATTAAAAAGTTTTTTTCACACCAAAAGAAATCACCAACAGAGTGAAATGAAAACCCACAGTGCAAAGAAGTTTATCCAACTGTCCCTCAGACAAAGGACTTTTGTCTAGAACATAATAAAAATAAAAAAACTGAAAGAGTAATAAGATCCAAAATATACAATAGATGTTGTAATAATGAAAGGGAAAGAAAGTGCTCAAAAGAAAAGAACAACTGGGATGGGGAAAGGAGAGAAGGAAGACAGGAAAAGATTACATGTATGTTGGTGAACATATATAAATGTATGTAGGTATAAATGTATGTAGATTGGTGAACATATATAAAAGTATGCAAGACAGACAACTATACTACTGATCTCTTTTAGTTCATCAAAAAGAAGTTTGTGCTGTCATTGTTTGATCATTTTTATGCCTAGATCTTGTAACGTGAACAACTACTTTTAAGATAATAATATGCAATATATAACTAGTATTAATTTTCTAGTATTTTTTTGAAATTCTGTATCATGAGCCGGGGATTTAGCTTAGTGGTATAAGTGCCTGCATGGCAAGTGCAGGGTTCTGAGTTTGATCTCTGGTACCAACAAAAAATCTGTATCATTTCTATCCTTTTTTCTGTTTTGCCTTTTAAAATAAAGTAAAATAAAATAAGAATTGAAAAAAATCAGACCCCCCCCAAATTCAAAGACCTGATCCACAAATGGGCATCTGAGATGAATATACATGTCTCAAATGAAGAAATATATATGGCAAATAAATATATGAAAAAATGTTCAACATCATTAGTCATTCAAGAAATGCAAATTAAAACAACACATGCAAATATCTAATGTCTGTTTTATGCTAGAGAAATTTGAAAGTACTTGACCATAAACAAGTTATATTAAAATGGATAAAAGATTCTTTCACCTGATCCCATTGGCATCTAAATCTTTAGCACAAACTTTAACGAGGTTACTCATTAGTTATTTATGTTATCATTTTTCTTATATGACATTTTCTTAATGACTGTTTTAGGAAAGTTAAAAATATCCTTTTTGTTTAAGAAAAAATGATTGGATTTCATCTGCCAAAACACAAAATCAGTTCCTAAGGAGTATGGGCGAAATATGACAGTGTCAGTGGAGGCAGGTGTTTTCCTAATGCTAGAGATGGACACCCAATAGTCCTTTCAGTGACGGCCGTGGTTTAGTCCTATTTTGAGTTTAGCATGATGTTTTGCATCCTCAAGTTAACATTATTCCACGGTCAAGACACAAGATAGCAGAGTATTTGCATAGCATGTGGGAGGCCTTGGATTATTCTGTTCTTAGTGCGTGTGCATGCACACACACACACACACACACACACACACACACACACAAATTCTATAGCATGGTTTCTCTGTATTTTCTAGAAGCCAATTAGGTGTGGAGCACCAGGATTCAGAGCTCTGTGCAGTTTGGGCATGAGAGCCCTTGTGCCCACTGAGTGCACTACGGTACCTACAGCACACATTTCTTGGAATAAATCTGCTTATGCTGTGCAGTATGGTAGCTGTTAGTTTGAAACATAGCCAGTGGTACAGATTGTGATGCAGTGGAAATGTAAAATGTATCCTGGATTTTGAAGATGGGGACAAGAAAAAAGTTAAATATATTATTACTAATGCTTTATGTTGATTATATGTCAATTTTTTATATAATGGGTTAAACAATATATTAGAAAAATTAATCTGTCTCTTTTTGTTTTATGTGTTTTTATGTATTAAAATGACTATTTCCCTTCTATTTATCTTCCCTAAGGAGTTAAAGACCTAATATTACAGTGATACACGCATACCCATGATGATGGTGGCACAACCCATAATAGCTAAATCTTGGAAGTGGTCTACATGCCCATCAGCAGATGAGTGAATAAAGAAAATGAGGTATGCGTACACAACAGAGTACTAATTTGCCATAAATCAGGATAAATCTGAATTATTTGTAGGAAAATGGGTGGATCTGGAAGCCACAGTGTTCAGTGAAATAAAGCAGACCACAAGCTTAAATATCATATGGTTTCTTTTATATGAGACACCCCGATATAAATACTTTAAGGATCAAAATAAAATAGAACAGAACACAGAAAAATAGATCTTTTGCAAATGGGAACCAAGAGAGAGAAAGAGAAGGAAGGGAAGGGAAGAGGAAGTAGACAGAGCTGAGATGTGTTTTACTGGTGTATTAACTCCCCGTGGTGAGACATGCAAACATGTACTAATAAAAAGTGTTTTTAAAAGAAAATTTAAAATTGCGTAGATGGCTTGCATTATATTTCTAACAGAAGGTTACCACACATCAGCACATTCCATCACTGAGTCAGGAGATTACTGGGTGTCAGGTGCAGAGCTGGTCCAGGAGGGGCTGTGACAGCACAGTCCCTGCCTTTAAGGAGTGCTGGTTTGGGTGAGAGAGGAAGACAGGACGTGTCACAGGTAGGCTCACCTATTGTGAGCTCATGCAGGAGAGCTCTGGCCCAGCCTGCGTGGGTGGGGTGTGGGGGCAGCTGCAGCGTGAAGGTTCCCAGGTGAGGTGGAGTAGGAGGTGATTGCTGGAAACAGGAGTTAGCTGACCAGGAGAGAAATGAACATGAGGGCAAGGTGTTGTAGGTCCGGGAAGCCACATCACATGCACAGGACTGGGAGGCATTGCTGGGCGCACAGGCACATGACTGCAGTCTCAGCTGCCCAGGAGGCTGAGCGGGAGGGTCAGGAGTTGGAGGCCAGGATGGGCTCCTTAGTGAGACCCCTTGTCTCTAAATAAATAAATAAATAAATAAAAATAAAAAGGTGGGGGTTAGGGAGGGTGGCAGAGCAAAGGTTTGGCTGGAGTTTGGAAGTGGACAGAAGGGGGTGTCAGGTAGGTCATCTTCTGCCTCTGACATTGAGTAACATCCTATGAATATTTTTCTGGCTGTTGATACCAGGACTTTTATTGCCTT